CGGGAAGTCAGCCTCAGGAACCTTGACAGGCCAATCAAGTGCCTAGAGGAAAGATCTTATGGTGCGAAAATGTTGTACGGTGGCAGAATAGAGGAGGGGTAATTCAGTGGAAGGCGGCTGTTGGGGAATGTGCGAGCCAATCTGTTACAAAAATCGGACAACGAATTGAAGCGAGTCCGAGACGAGAAGATAGACTTGTATGACTGGATGGCAGGAGCCGAAGTACTCAGGTCACCTGTTCGGGGATAAATATTCGACCTTGACAACCTCGTGCAGTGGACTCACTCTTCTGGTTCGACGGGCTCTCGGGGTTTTAGAGAAGAAGTTGTGAGCAGCGAAACCCGCTTCCTAAATGCAAGGGTCGAATGGAGGCAGCATGCAATTACCTTCTCTGGCAAAAATCCACTGCAAAACGGGGTCCAAGATGACAAACAGGCTTTGTAGGCATGGCATACTCCAGACCTAGAGTCTGTCCTCAGAAGGGGAAAAGATGGGGTGAGCGACGTCGATGTGGAGAAGGTTATCCACTGCCAGGACGGAGCCCAATTATCCCCCGAGATCTTGTGTTCCATTATCTGTTTTAGTGCAATGCATGGGTCGGCAGTTCGGTTGGAGAAAGGCTGCACTATCTCCGAAGTCACTCACCATCCGCGCTGCATTGCTCGTGAGGAGGGACTGATGAGGTCGCCGTGGGGCTATATCGGCTTGATATGCTGATCAAAAGTGAATTTGATGTCGTCGGACCTCGATTTCCCATCTCAAAGTCCTCAAACAGTTCCTGTTTCCTTGGAGAGATCGAGCACATCCAAGAGCGAAGTAGAGGGACCAAGTGAGGTCTACCGAGAGCATTATGGCTGCAGAGGAACCCTTTGCAAAGTCCAAGACTGGCATCAAGGTGATTATCGTCGGGGCAGGTATGTAGATCCAGTAGTGCTCCAGAAAGGATTGCAGAGTTGACAAGCAAACTAGGTTTCGGCGGCCTGACAGCAGCGATAGAGTGCCATCGTCAGGGCCACCAGGTGGAAATTTATGAGTCGTTCCCTGAGCTCAAGACCCTGGGAGACATAATCTCCTTTGGCGCAAATGCTGGTCGAATATTTCGTCGATGGGGCGTCGATGGCTCGATAGCTAAGAAAATGAGAGCTCTGAGTATCGACCTCGTAAAGCATGGATTCAAAATCCACAAGTACACCGGAGAGCACATCATCACTCAACCGACACCCCCCATGGATCCCGATGCACCGGTTTTCAATGGTCATCGTGGAGAGTTGCACGAGGTGATCTTCAATTACGCCAGGGACGACCTCAAGATCCCCATTCATCTTGGACAGAAAGTTGAGAAATACTTCGAAGAGGACGATAGAGCCGGTATCGAACTGGTGAATGGAGAAAGAGTATGATCTATCTATCCGTTTTGATGCTCGGACCGCCTCGTTAACGGGCCTCAGGTATATGGCGATATGGTGGTGGGATCGGATGGCGTGAGGTCAAAAGCACGGGAGCTTGTCCTGGGATATATTGACAAGCCAAAGAGCAGTGGCTACGCGGTCTTCCGTGCCTGGTAAGCTTTGGACAGAGTGAAGGACGTGGCGAGTGCTAACTGTTCTTGGTCAGGTTTCCAAATACCGATATGATTGCCGACCCCCGGACGAAGCATTTCTGTGACAACGGCGACACGTTCCAAGGCTGGATCGGGCAAGATGTACACTTTCTTTTTTCCACCATCAAGAACGGGAGTGACTGCTGTTGGGTGTTAACGCACAGGGTAAGTACATAGCGACCTGTGTCTTCACCTCGCCTAACTCTCGCACAGGATGAGGCAGATATCGACGAATCTTGGTCATTTCCAGGCAAGCTAGAGGATGTGTACAAAGTATTCGAGGGTTGGGACCCTCTCTGCAAGACTATTGTCTCGAAAACGCCGGAGAGCCACCTCGTCGATTGGAAATTGGTGTACCGAGATCCGCTGCCAACATGGGTCAGCAAAGGCGGTCGTATCGCTTTGCTGGGTGATTCAGCACATCCCTTTTTACCAACCTCGGCTCAGGGGGCCACACAATCCATGGAAGATGGTGTCACTCTAGCAGTTTGCCTCAGGCGTGCCGGGAAAGGTCAGGTTCCAGATGCTGTCCGGACATATCAAAGGATCAGGTAGGTCATGTTGAGCCTTATTTCAGTCACATCCTGACACCGTCTCCAGGTATGACCGGGTAAAGGCGGTGCAGAAGACGGGAGAAACGACACGGGACATGTGGCACAAGGCGGATTGGGATAAAGTCAAGGAGGATCCCAAGTCCGTACAATTTCCGCGCGAGGACTGGATCCACATGCACGACGCCGAAAAGCATGCTGAGGAAGTCTTTGATGAGAACTTTGCTGCAACTCAATCGGCGGAAAAGGGGGTCCCTGAAAAACTGATGAGCGGAGTGGACACTGTCAGTGGTGTCAATGGCGTACACAAGGCTACCGCAGTGGGTGAAGTGAATGGTACTCACTAAGCAATTCGTCTATCCTGTACGGTGGCTGAGATCATGGCAGACTTAATGCACTTACGGGCGAAGCTGTGATGATTTAGTCCATGGTGTTGAGCCCATGTCGGGCATGGAGGAAGGGAATGTGCACTGAATATGATTAGGTCTTCATCGTTATCGTGTGGGGATAGGAGATTGAAATGGTAGTGCTTTCGGGAGTGGCCACTTCCGATTGATCGTCGTCTTCGAGACCATGATGCTTGATTGATGTTGGATGTGCGCAAGAGACTGGATTGGATGTAAGTCAGGCTGCGCTCAGCGGAGATTGTGGTAGATTTAGGTACGGCAGACCATACAACCACGTGATGCACAGGATACGGTGGAACATACACGCCCGCAAGTGCATCAGAAAATCCCATCCACGTAAAGATCATTTCATCTTCCCTCGTCCACAACTACAACAATGATGTAAATATCATAGCCTCCTCATGCCTTAAACGGTGCTAAGCAATGGGTATTCCACGACTGTCGCAGGATCTCTCTCCCTATGCGGATCGAGTCATCCTGGGTGCCCCTCCCCAGACATCGACCCCCCCTGATGCCACCATTATCAAAGACCTGATCATTGATGGACCTTCACTTGTATATTGGGTGTATAACAAGCTTGTGGCACATCAGCGGCTAAACAGCATTACGAGTGCAACCTTGCCGCCTACATACGGTGAAATCAATCGGACCCTACACCACCTGCTCCATGACTTCCAGGCCCGTGGTGTTAATATCCAACATATTTTCTTCGACGGTGGTCTTCCCGTGTCGAAACGTCCCGTTCGGCTTGAACGTATGGAGAAGCTCCGGCAGCAATTACAAGTTTACCGCAACTTCTATCCGGAATTTCCCCCAGCTGCTACTTTACCTAGTCTTCGGGACTTCGACAAGATCCTTTGGGATACTCCTGTCTTGTCAACGAGGAAGATAACTCTTCCAACTCCACCGTTCATGGTTGCCAGCGCGATTGAGTCTTTGAGCACAACAGAATGGAAGGACTGTGTTCACGTGGTTCCGGGTGAAGCTGACGCGTTCTGTGCTCTTGCTGCTCAACAGTCGACATCTGTTGTGGCAATCCTCACAAACGATTTTGACCTAGTAATACACGACCTCGGACCAAATGGTCGGGTTGTGTTACTGCACAGCATCGAAACCAAGCACAGGGTCCCTCCAAAATCGTCTTACATTTCAGCGCTGTCTTTCGATCCGAAACTCATGACAGCCAGATTCAAGATTTCATCGTTGCTCAGTTTTGGTTTCGAGCGATTTCTTGATTCTGGTGCATCCTTCTCAATCATTCAAGAACGCGCGAGGGATTCATCTAGGTTGGAGAGACTTCGGAATGAGTACATGATGTTTGCGGAGCCATTTGTCCAAAGCCCGCCATCAGTGGCCTCCTTTTCCTATCTCGAAAACCTCGATCCACGAACAGCAGAGATTGTTAGCGACCTCGGCGATCCTCTACACATCTACCTAATCCCGCTATTGGAGGACCCCCAACGTGATTCTTCGTGGTCTTATGGAGCCAAAATACGGCAAATCGCATATTCTCTGCTCTTGAAGACATCTCCTGATGCTGTGGGCGGGTCGCTACACATGGTCGAATTTGCCAGAAAAGGACAAAGAATCACACCCGCCTCGGTTACATGTCTGCAGCTACCTGAGGTCATAGAGAAAATGGCAGAACTGCTTCAGCTCCTGGAGGCCCTCGGCTCGTTCTCCGGGCAGACCCCCACAGTCTCGAACGAGAGCAGGCTTCTAGAGTGGTACATGCCTGCCGTCTGCCTCGTCCAACAAGAGAAATCCAGACTTGGCAAAACTCCTCCATCATCAGAACATGTTTTAAAACTTCTGGGGCTGGGGCTGACGACGAAACTTTCAGCATCAACGAGAATAACATGGGACGACGTCCACCTCCTTGCAAATATCCAAGCAGTGCTTTACTCTATCCGAATTCTTGCGCAAATAACGGAGTACATTGTCAAAAGTCACAGACTTTCAGACTCCATTTCCACCCACGGCCTTGTCCACCACGAAGATATTTCAAAGCTCATAAACAATCTTCACCCCAAATTATCAACTTTGCCTCCTGTCGAGACCTTGTTCTTAGACATCCCACATCTTCGGGCTCAACTGAGCAACGCGGACCTCAAAACACAGGGCTGGGCATTCACCTCTCTTCGTCGCCTGCTTGATACTGACTCAGGCGTGAATCAAGCGGACCATGACACGAGTGTTACCGCAGCTGAAGAGCGCGACTCTGCAAGTGGAGACTGGATTGATACAACAGCAAAGAAGAAAAAGGAAAGGAAAAGGAAACGTCAGGACAATTTTGACACAGGTACAACACGATCTACGAATGGGTTTGACCTGCTATCGGAAGAACCTGGATAGATTCTCATGCCCGGTATGGGAGACATCATTCTACAGAGACTATCCTCAGCGAACGCCAAACCACCGAATCACTCGAAGCATCATTGTCTACGCAAGGACAGCCAATCCACCCAAGGCTTCCTGGATAATCGCTTCCATCTCCTGCTCTGCATCTACAGGGAAGATGTCCAGCTCATCAACGTCAGCGTGTCCAGTGGTATCCAACCGCGATGCTACCATGTCAAGTCTCATGGTGTTTCTTTTTCCGTCGGCCATTCTTCGGAGTATTTCGTCTTCAGTCGCCTGCAAGACCACAAATATAGTATTGATGTATTCCGCTTCAGTCTCGTCGTTAGACCTGGACAGGATATTCCTCAGTGTATTGCGGTCGGGCCGGGAAAGTGCGGAGCACGTTAGTATAACGTCTTTTTCACTCCGCCCGCCGGATTTCGGCTGTTCACCATGGACAATGTGATCAGCTCGAAAACGTTCCAACACCTCAAGTTTAATTCGAGCAAGCCAAATCTGCCTATCAAGGGAGCTAAGATGGATCCCAGAGCTCATCTTAGCCTTTGCAATGGCGTCATGAACCGCATCCCCATCAATCACCGGACAGGATAGGGATTCGGCCAGCTCAATGGCAACGGTGCTCTTGTTAACGCCAGGGGGACCCGACAGGACGATGAGCCGAGTTGACTGCTGATGCCGGGATTCTGCTGTTGGCGCCTTGGCCGTCCAGCTGGTCTTCAGAAAATGCCCGACAAACTTCTTCACCAGGTCTGCGGACAATGCAGGCACCATACCGAGCTCGGGAGAAATTTGTTCTGCTGTGGATGTGACATACTTGAAGTTCTTCCTATTGGTGAGGTCATTGTCATATTTGCTTGCGAAAAACTCGACGAGTTTGATTGTGGGATTCTGTTCGGGGTCTGGATTTGATGCGCGCAAGCGGCGGATCCATTCGCGCTGATTCACTTGGGCGAACGACAGACCTGCGTTGTGTAGTGCAGGCAGGAGGTCATTCGTCCAGTGGAATGTGCGGGGATTGACAATGTTGAAGACTGCATGTGTGGTGCTCGAAAGGGAGATATCCGTAACTACCCTCGCGACACTATCCACTGGCAACCAACGGGGATGTTCGTCAAGGCTTGGGAGTGCCCCGATTGTGGTCGCCGCTTGCAACATTAGGGGGATGGCCTCGGTGTCGTTCCAAATGCCATGTGCGGTGTCCGCAATGATCTGTCCGACTCGCAAGACGCGAGCCTCCATTCCCGTCTGAGAGGCGGCTCGGGTCACAAGGTGCTCGGTCACAAGCTTTGACTGCGCATACCCCATGCCCTGGGCACACTTGAAACTTTGGGGAAGCGCTTCTGCCACGGCATCACCAGGAGTATTCGTCACCGTGGAGACTGACGAGCAGAAATTGAAAGAAGCCGGCGTAGGTTGTTGGGCTGAGAGGCAGAGGAGCATCAAATGCCGGGCACCTGCAATGCAGTCTGCCTCAAAGCTACTCAGGTTTTTGTTGAAATTGACTGACCAGGCACAGTGCACTAAGCTTGTGATCTTTGCTGAGATGCTGGCATAGACACTCACACCGAGGCCCAGGTCTGGTTTCGAAAAGTCAGATGGATAGCAAGAGATCTTGCGACGCAAATCCAGTGGAAGCGTGTGATACACTGCTCGGCGCTGCATCGATTCGATGACCCGTCGACGGGCAGACGATTTAGAACTAGCTCGAACCAAACAGCACACCTCTGAAATATCTTGACGGCGAACAAGCTGTGCAACAAGGTGAGCCCCCAAGGAACCTGTTGCGCCTGTGACAACAATACAACGCTCTGTAGACTTGGACGGTACAGGTATATGTTGGGGAAACTCGCTATACTTCTCAACGAGCCGTTCCATCTCCTTGACCACATCTCGCGTTTCGCCCGATTTGCGATCACGGATGTTGAGAATGGCAGCGGCCAGTTTGGAGATGGTGGGGTATTCAAACACAATGTTCTGTGGCAGCGAGTTACCATTCAGTTGAACTTCCTGTAGTATCTTGGCTCGGAGTCTCGTCGAATGCAGAGAGTCAACGCCGAGTGAGAACAAGTCAGTGTCATCTGTCAGACATGTGGACTCATCTTGAGGACAAAGGTCCAGCAAATGCCCGCGGATGAATTCTCGCAGCTCGAGTTCTGACAGCACAAGGGTACCAGCCGTTCTCGACTCTGCTTGGTGATACACCTCCTCGATTTCATTGTGGAAAGCTCGGTAAAATGCCTGACGTATCAGGGAACCTTTGTCGGTGCAAGGATATGCGGTTCCGGCGGGCAGGACGGTTATCATGTCTTTCGCCAGTTGTGCATAAGCAGGCAATGCTTTGTTCTCCGCCATGATTGTTGGCCAAATTGACTCGAGCAGGTCTCCGGCGCCCATGCCCGCTCCTTGCTCGGAAGCAATGACCATCATACCCAGCTGGCTCTTGCCCGTCCCAAACATGACCGCTTCTCTCACCAATTTGTTCTGTCGCAGCGCTTGTTCCATGGCAAGAGGAATGGCTTTCTCGCCATTAACCAAGACAAGAGTATCATCAAGCCGACCGCAATATTTCCATGCTCCTGGTATGGATGGATGGGGCTCGAAGAGATCTTTCGTTGCATACGATCCATCGTCGCGGTTTGTCGCAACCTTGGAGGGCCACCCGTCCAGAACACAAAGCTCATACAGGTTCCCTCCTTGAGGCTCCATCCTAAGATAAGGCTTCAGCTGGTCGTGTTCTCGAACGTAATTCCAGGCCTTATCGTCAGCAGGTCTGAAGGATGTCATCAGCTGACCAGTCTCTGTCGTTCCATAGTGGCTGATTAAGTTGACTCCGCCTTCGGTCAACAAGTCGCCCAAAGCGTCCGGACACGCTGAGCCCCCGAACATGACCACCTTCAGAGCCGCCAGAGCGTTGATTCCGTCCGGGGTCTCACTCAAGAGTTTGAGGGCATATGGAACGGCGAGAAAGATCTCGAATTCGTGGTCTGTCAGGATCTTCAGCAGGTGCTGGCTGGTCAACGGCAAGTTGGTGTTGTATATGTATATCTTCTTGACAGCGGTGATACCACGAAAGACGTTACTGAGGCCAAAGGCGTGGAAGAGTGGCAGCGTGACGAAGCCACGCATTCTCAAGCTGTTTTCATAGTTCTTCAGTGCCGCCTTGTGGGTTTGATAAATCGGTTTAGGGAGACCAGTCGAGCCAGATGAGTGAATGATCCATGCGACCTTGGAGGATTCCTGGTCCAGGTCAAAATGCTGCTGCTGTAGTGCGGCGTCGTCTAGTTGTGTGTCGGTCATATACTGCGCTTGGGTCAAGATATCAATGACCTCTAACCCATCTCTAGCAGCCGCCAGAGCATTTGCAGTCTTTCGGAACGAGGAACCGACGACGAGATGGCGGCATTTCGTGACGTCCAGCAAAGACAAATACGCGGCCTGGGATATTCTCGTCGACAAAAAGAGGACCGTAAACCCTAGTCTGGACAGAGCCAAGAGGGTGAAGAAGTAATCCAGATCCGATGGCCCCAGGAGGGCAATGACTCGTGTCTCTTGGTGAGAGTCGGTACGAGATGGCAAGCAGTCTGCATATCGCCTGGCAGCTCGCGAGGATATTCTCACGAGGTCTGAGTATGTGTACTCGAGATAGTCGAGGGCGTCCGAGGGATACCCGAAGATCGGCTCGTCAGGGAAATCTCGCGCCCTCAGTGACAAGAGTTCTGTAATGGTTCGAGGACTCGGGAGTGGTGGTGATAACGGTGGCGTGGGTGGTTGCAGCGACGGGGACGCGACTGGGCTGACTTTCGAGACAGGTAGGGGGGATCTCATGTCCACGGATGCCATCCTGCTTGTTCTATTGTTGAGGTCGTTTTCTTTTGCGCTAATATCAGACGTACAGGGCGAGAAGAACGGACATATAAGAATCTCTGCGAATGCCCTGCTGGATCTTTGCCAGGGGTGGAACCACTGTCCAAACGAGGCAATATCCTTGTGGTGGGCGTGGCGGCGCCACCGTTAGTGGAGCGCTTGTTCAAAGGAATAGAATGATACGGTGATCCATTCCTTTGGTTACACAGCAGTCAATTATCCGTCGGCTCATCGTTGTTTGCTCAGTGTATGGTTGAAGATCGATGGGCCATTGTCTAAGGCAGCATATAAGATCAAGGTGACATATGTACGAGGGACGCCCGACACTCCGCAGCCGTGCTTACTTGTATGCCAACTGGCCGAATTCGCCCACAGGCGGAGCAGCAGCGTGGTACTCCAAAAGGTGGACACTTTGCCTTCCAAGGATACGAGGATTCCGTCGGAGCAGCCGACGGAAAGAAGCAAAAGACTCACGAAACTTGACGGGGCCTGGTGATCGTCCTCAGGGGCATCAGCCTCACGGTGTTGCGGTCGTGTCATCGGCAATTATGCATCTGCAGGTAAGAGCATTGGCTGGGCTGTCTAAGTCAATCTTCCAGATCATTGAAGCTCGAGGTGTCTCCATCCATCAGTTCTCTCTGTTGGATGAAGGCACTGCCGACCCATTCAGCATGTCCACCATCCACATCAGGCTCTCCAACCTTCCTGCCCGAGACTCCAATACGATCAAACAGGTCAAGTCGCATCGGATACGACACTGGCCAGTCGTCATCAGCATAGCTATTCTGCTCGCTCCTCGCAGCAGATCTGGCGTAAACATATACAACCACACATCAGTTTTCAGCCTGATAATACCTACCATCGGGATCCAACAGGACTGCGAATGAAGTATAATCTCCGATACAGAAACTTCTTCTGGAGTTATGCCCATCAGAGAATCAAGTACTATACATCAACTGAGCCAATCCAGAAATATATGGTCAAGCATGGCCTCAGGCATTAAAACTGGACGGGGAATTAACCAAACGAGAATGGATATTTTTCAACGATGATGAAGCGACATACCACAGCTCTGGGGAACTTGGGAATATTTATAACCCTCCATGATAAGGCTGCACCCTCCTATGTGGGAAATTACATGTTCCTGGTCGGGAGCGGAATTCCTCTGGTGTCCGAATGCCTGATGTCTTCAGACATGGAATTCCGTCTCAAGCGGAATCCCGATCGCGATTCTGTCTCTAGGCATGGCTGGAGTAAAGACATATAACAGTCTCATTACATCCTGGGACAGAAATCCCGTCCAAAACGAGATTTAAAAGCTCTCCTGTCTCGCCCGGGCTATGTATAAAGACGTCCGCCAGCTGCCTTGACCTCTCTTGGACATAGTCAGACCTCCAGTCCCATTCAAAAGTCGTCCACGCAACGTCCCCACGATGGCCACTCCCACAACCGCGAAACGCAGTCCTTCTACCCTGTCGGTGCCAGAAAGAGAGACTAGCGTCGTGGAATCTTTAGGGACGAACAAGGACAGAGACCTCCCAGACACCATCGACGACCAACAGCTGGCGGAGAAGAAGAGTCAAATCGACATCCAAACAGACAACAAGGATGATGAATTTCCTCACGGGTTTCGACTCATCTGCCTAGTCATAGGCCTGTGCATGGCATCTTTCCTGGTTTCCCTCGACATGGTCTGACTCCCTACTCATTGTCCAAACACGCACTGATTTGACGCGAGGCGGAAACAGACAATCGTTGCCACGGCCATCCCTCGAATCACCGACCAGTTCCAGACCATCAACGACATCTCCTGGTATGGCGCAGCCTTCTTCATGTGCGTCGGTGGCTCCACGTCAGCCTGGGGGAGAGTCTACAAGTTCTTCCCTCTCAAGAATACGTTTGTCGTCGCCGTACTGATCTTTGAACTGGGCTCGTTGATCTGCGGCGTGGCCCCCAACTCAGACACCCTCATCGCCGGACGGGCCATTGCTGGCCTCGGTGCGGCCGGCATCTCGTCGGGCGCCTATACCATGATCGCCTTTTCGGCGCCGGCCCCCAAGAGGCCCATGCTGATGGGGATTATCGGCGGCACGGCTGGGATCGCGGCGGTCGTCGGACCTCTCATTGGCGGCGTGTTCGCCAACTCGGTCACCTGGCGCTGGTGCTTCTACATCAACCTCCCCATCGGCGGCCTCTCGACGGTAGTGATCCTGTTCTTGTTCCGCCCTCCAGCGTCTACGCGGCCTCAATCGACGACGACCTGGATGCACCGGCTGCTGCACATCGACGTCGTGGGCACGGCCATGGCGATGGGCGGACTCATCTCCATCATCCTCGCCCTCCAGTACGGCGGCACGACGCACCCGTGGGACTCGGCCGTGGTGATTGGCCTCCTCGTGGGCTCCGTCGCCATCTTCACCGCGCTGGGTCTGTGGGAGTGGTTCCAGGGCGAGCGGGGCATGATCCCGCCTCACCTGATCAGCCGCCGCACGGTGCTCGTGCCCGCGGTCTTCACGTCGCTGTTTTCCGGCGCCTTCTTCCTCGAGATCTACTACCTGCCCATCTACTTCCAGTCGATCGACGGCGCCGACCCGACCACGTCGGCCGTGCACAATCTGCCGCTCGTCATCGCCATCACGGTCGGCACGATTGTGTCGGGTGTCTTCATCACGCGCACCGGCCTGGCGACGCCCGTGCTCGTCGTCGGCGCGGCCATCGCCACCGCGGGCGCCGGCCTGATCTACACGCTCGGCATTGGCTCGTCGACGGGTACATGGGTGGGCTATCAGGTCTTGGGGGGCATCGGATGGGGCCTGGCGTTTCAGGTGCCCGTGATGACGGCGCAGGGGTTTTCGTCTGCAGAGGATCTCTCGTCCACGACGGCTATTGTATTGTGTAAGTCCTCTTCCCTCCCCCCCCCCTTTTTTTTTCCCTTGCTCCTTATTTGATCCAACATGACCAATATCATGCCATACCATACCATACCATACCGTGCCCCACAAAGCCAAAGCATCCCCCAACGCCCTCTCTTCCCGCCCCTCTCTTTCTAACATCTGCCATTCGATCTGCCATTTGATCTTCTAACATAACCCCCTCCCCACGGAGGATGCGATACCCAGTCTTCCAAACGACCGGCGGCGCCCTCTTCGTCTCGACGGGCCAATCCGCCTTCGTCAACACCCTAACCCGCCAGATCCGGCGGACACACCCCTCCCTCCCGCCGGGACTGGTCATCACCACGGGCGCCTCGGACCTGCGTCGCGTCTTTGACCCCGAAGTCCTCCCCGGCGTGGTCGCAGCGTACATGTCCGGGTTGAAGGTCGCGTGGGCGGTGGCGATTGCAGCGGCGGGGACGGCGTTGGTGGTGGGGGTGTTGGGGACGTGGGAGAGGGTGCATAGTAGGGACGGCGATAGTGGTAGTGCACTGTAGTGCTAGTGCTAGTGCCAGGGACAAGGAGGTCACGGAGTGATTTGTGGGATTGGGACTGGGATTGTGGTTGTGGTTAGAGGGAGAGGGGGAGTTGGAGTTGGAGTAGGGGTAGAGGTAGGGGTGGGGATAGGGGATAGGGGGTGGAACGTGAGTACCGACTTGAGTTGAGTTGAGTTGGCTTGGTAGGATAGAGGGGAGGAGGATCAAGGGGACAGAAAGAGGGAGACACACACACATCCCCTCCTTACCTACCAAGGCGAAAGAAAGAGAAAAGAAGACGGAGTGAATGCCTCCCTAGCCACCATAGCGGGTTATCAGGCACTACATAGACATATGTATCCACGCCATATACGTAATACATATACTATTACGACACGCTCAACTCCACGAAAACGCACTCGCCATGTCCCGATCCACAAACCACGACTCGTCCATGAACAGGGGACTAAAGAACGACGATGACGACTCTGCTTCTGCCGTCAGGAATGCGCGTCCGAGACTGCTACCGTCATCATCGTCTACCCATGAAGTCATGTGGTCGGGGTCAAGACCGGCTGTCTCGAATGTTGTTGTTGTTGTTGCTGTTGTTGTAGACGTCGGTATAGCCGTCTCGCAGTCGACGTTGTCATTCCTCTGACCTCCTCCTCCTCCTCCTCCTCCTCCTCCTCGACTGTTGTTGCTAGTGGTGGTGGTAGTGCTGGCTGATACGTCCGCCGTCATTGCCGCCAGCTCCCGCGTCCACACTGCCTTCATGGACCGGATCATGCGGCCGCTGAGGGTGAACGTGTCCACGTCGGCGCCGGGCCCAGCGCCAGAATTACAATCTCCGTCCCCATCGCCGTAGCCGATGCCGGTGCTGTGGCTCGTGTACGCTGCGAGGAGTTTTCTCTGCGAGGAGACCTCGTCCAGACTGCTGATGAGGCGGTCGCAGATGTTGAGCAGGTCGATGCGATTGTCCCCGTCCCCGCCCCCGTCCCAAAGTAGACCCCTTTCTACGGTCACGACGCCGTGGAGAGTCAGCAGGCAATGGCCTAGCTGGCACCAGAAGGGGAAGGACATGCCCGCGTAGGCCGTGGCGGGAAGGGCGAAGAGGGCGTCGAAGAACCCGCCGAGGCACGCGACAAGATCTCTCCGGGCTTGATGGCGGCGGTGGTCGGGCTTGGTGTTAATGTTAGTATTGGTGGGTCCGGTCAGCTGGATCATGGTCTCGTGCGTGATCAGCTCTGTGTAGCGGAGCTGGGCCAGGAGGATATCTACAGTGCCACGACGTTCGGCGTTGCTCCTGGTTAGCGTTGCTTCTAGGCGCCTTCCGGTGGCACCACGAAACGAAAATGTATGGAAAGGGGGGGAGGAAGTAGGGTGGAACAGTTAAGAGATAAAAACATACGATTATTCTTGAGATCCGGTGTCAATTCCTTCTCGATAGCCCGAATCTGCGCGAGAATAGCAGATACACAAAACGCCGAAGGTCCAGTCGCCGTCGCCGCCGCGGTCGTATGAGAAGATGAAGACAAGAATAGCGACAACGACGATGAGGGTGCAGACAAAGACCACGAGTTGCGATTGATGTCGTCCAAGAGCAGCTGCAGACGTACTTGGGCCACGAGGACGCCGTCGAGATGCCACTCGGGCTGTGTCGCCAGCGTTTCCAGACATCGCTCCATGCAGGGCGTCCAGTTTAGGCCGTCGATTCTCTTCATGGTCAAGGAGATTCTATTGATGGACATCTGCGTAAGAGACCGAGATAACAATGTAGCAAGGAAAAAGTTTGAGACACACACAGCGCGAGAGAGAGAGAGAGAGAGAGGGAGGGAATGGGGATGACGTACTGGCTGGTTATACAGAAGCACGCAAGCACGGCGCGACATTCGTCCATGGTCTTTCCGTCCCCTCCAGGACCTTCGCGCGAAGCCTTGTTCAGTCCCAAGTCAAAGACGAGCGACATGGCCAGCGAGCAGAGCAGAGATATATTTGGTCCTCTCTTCTTGTAGAAATGTGACCTGCAAGCTTTCAGTGAGCGAGGACTTGAATATGCCTTGACCGTTTCATCCATTCGAGATCAACGGAGCAGTGCAGTAAAGAAGGGACACAGAGAAACTGTTCTTACCAGGACAGATAGACCAGCAAGCCCAGCAACAAGTCTACGCTCCTCTCATTCTCCACAAACATGTCCTGGGCGAGTTTCTTCTGGATCGCTTCACTCCACGCCAGCTGGAGCGACGTGACCGGCGTCGCCACCGTCATGATGTTGTACCAGAGAAAGGGTCGTGTCTCTCGGAGCTGGCTGGCGGTCACGGTCGGGGGGAGGTGCACGAAGGGCATGAACTCGAGATGTTGGCTGCGGAATACGCCCAGACACTGCTCTGCCTCGGCTGGAGTGACCGAGTAGAAGGCTGGTAGGATATGAGTGCCCCTCCTGGACATGAGGGTGGCGGTATGGGACTCGCACACCGGATGGATAGGATAGTTGAATGTGAGTGAAGACGACTTGTCGGTCGGGATGGCGCGATCTGCACCCTGAGCGATGGGTGGGGGATGTATCCTGTTCCTGCTCCTGCTGTCCCGGGTGTGACTATGCGCGACTGTGTCATGGCGTCGTTCATGGTCTGCGTCGAGGTCCTCGGTGTCAAAGGCTGGACTGGAATCTGAAGTGGCCGTATCAAAGTCCCCGGCTCCTGGACGATGATGGCTCTGATTCCGGAGCACATTGACCAACTCGTCAAGCTTGTTCTCTAGTCGAGAAGTCCTCGAGGGGGGACGACAGCGTCCGTTGTGTCTTCTCCGCGAGATACCAGGCACACATTGTTTCCCCAGACGACGGCATCTGCGAGTGACATCAATCAGCACGACAGATGGATCAGGTACAAAAATGCGATGCGCCTGAGTACGAACCTTTCGCAATCCAACCCCGGCCCTCGCTGTATGCACCGGCATTTGGCCCGCGCGCAGTGAAGACATGCCCGCCCATACGGTGCCGAGTTGAACTGGGAGTCTTCGCCGTCCTGTGGTGTGTCCATGGCGAGAAATGTGAGGGGACAAGAGTATTCAACAGTGAAAAGGAGGAGATATAGATGGATAGTATGGCTGATACAGGCCAAACGGTAGATTAATAATTCACTCCTTGGCCCTGCCCTCCTCCTCCATTTCCCCTTTCTCAATGAGAGAATGAATCTAGAGATTGACTGACTGGCACTGGTACCAAGCACAGCTATGCCCTAGCGGCTATACCTTCTCGTGCATCCCCGGATTTCGGGACCGGATTTCAACACACTCCGTCCGTATTAGCACAACCACACTAGTGTTACGCCTTTCATCCTACAGATGTCACGAGACAGTTCCTGCAGTGATGTGGAGAATAACCGAGGTCTGTGGAGATATGGGATACCGACTGAGTGAGTGAGCGAGCCCTGGATGTATGAACGGGACAATAAAGAATGATGTACCAAGAACAACAGATTAGGGGGATGATGGTATATATACATATCTATACAATCTAGCGGCGGTAGACTCAACTCTACAGGGATATTTTGCCGCTTCGTCATTTACCCTGGGTAATCTCTTGACGGCAACAAGCATGTTGTGCATGCTACAATGTACTGTATGGGTCAAGAACTCTTTATCAGGATCGTACTAAACAGTACGGATACCTGCGATTGACCCCCCAAAATCATCACGCCGGGAGGAAGAACAGCTCCCCCTCGCCAGGAAACCCGACCGTGTCCAGACTCTCCCAGCCCCAGCCTAGGAGGTTCTGAAACATCAAGTCGTCGTCCGACGGCGTGAACTGTCCCATGAGCGTCGGATCCGGGCCACGAGCTACGCCACTACCGAGGTCGCCTGGTCGCGCATTGCTAGAACCTTCCGGATGCTCGGAACCCACCGCAGTCGTCAGGTTAGACTGGTCTAGTGGGACGTCCAAGCCTCCCGAGTCTACGGCCCCCGAAGCCAGTTGTGACATCGGTGCAAGCTGGTGAGGTGGTACCGTCGAGGGCGAGCTGCGCTCAAACGTCGACGTATTCAAATCGTTGCTCCTCCTCAATCGCGCGGCGTCCTTTTCGGCACGGAGTCGAAGCCGACTTAACAGGTGACAGTGGCGTCGTGCCTGGCTGCCTTCCGGGGACATCTCCGCCAATCGATCCTGGCATAACATGGCCATGTCGAAGAAGACGTTCATCTCGGGAAACACGCCCGGCGGGATGTTGGCGCGGCTACTCTGGATGACAAAGACATAGAGGGTGGACACCGCGACGAGGGCAATGTACTGCGTGAACCAGAAGGACTGGTACAGGGCCCCCCGTTGAATCAAGTCGCACGTCGTGTTGAGGATGGTGCTGATGGCACTGGCGCATTCACGGATCGGGTTCAACGCCCTCTCATCCAGGACCGACAAGGCCCTGTGCCCGAGTCGGCTGAAGTCTGCGAGCAAGCATCGCCTGGTGGCCAGGATCCGGAGATGAGCATGCGCAAGCTTCAGGACAGTATTTTGCCGCTCAAACGTCCTCTGTCCCGCCAGGGTCCTGGTGCGGGGTTTCAAGAAATCCGGGAGAGTGTCCTTCCACTCCAGCGTAGCCTCAAGCATCCAGTTGGTCCGATCGAACAGCTGATCTTCGGAAAGGGGGTGGATTGGGTAAAGGAGATCGCTATTGCGTCCCATCAACTTGGCCAGGTCGGCATGTGCTATGAATGCTTCCAGGTTACCGTGCAAGGGGAGGTCCTCGGGAGACTCCGTGGACAGCAAGTCTTGATCGTCAATGTTGCGAGGGTACGGCTGGTCGATGTCTTCGTCGCGGAGCATTCGTGGCCGGCCCAGCATCACACTTATGTACTCATCCAAAACATACGCACACCAGAACGTGCGTTTCCGCGACTCCAGCGTCACCAGATCTAGTTTCTGGCTGGACGAAATCTTCCTGTGGAGACCTATCGAGGTCAGTATCGTGCAGGCGAGGCTGAAGCAGAACCGGCACTCGTTGATCCGGAAAGTGCTAAGGAGGTACAAGCACATGGCGAGCCGGGCCTGGACGCTGGCAACGGAGGCTGGTCCAGGTTCTTGATTGAGAAGAGACTTGGCCTTTTCAAAATCTGTAGCGATAGAAAAGTCAGTCATTCGTCAGTGTCCACCATCTAAGGAAAAGCCCTCGGAGAGGACGTGTAGTAGCTCTGTGTTCTTATCATCTACTACGACACATCCCTCGTGACTCGGGGATCCAAGGATAACTTACAAAATTGGCTGCGGGTAAGGTCCTGATCTCCGCCATCGACATACCTGTCGCCTTCCCTCGTGTAGAGGAGTGACTGTGAGAACACCAGTAGAGTACATGCGGCTTCCGCTTTCAGGAGTCGAGCCCCACTCAAGAGGTGGGATGTCCACTTCTCGAGCGTTGGCCGATGGAGAAAGCGATAGGTGGGCGTCGCGAAGCGAAAGTACCGTTCCAGCAGCGCATCTGCCTCTTCGCGTGTGGGCAGTGGCTGGTCTTGTCGAACTTGGACGGGAGGGATGTCTCCGTGGCAGGTCAAAGGCGCTGATGGCAACGCAGCCTCTCCCTCGACCGCATCGCCTCGATTCCATGAGTGATAGAGAAACGACACGCCTGACGTTGCGCTGATGTGGTGGCCTTCAGCAAAGGTGGGTTCGAGCGACGGGCCTCGAGAGAGACGAGGAGTGTTCTCGGGTGATCTCATAAGCACTCGATGTGAGGCTTGAGGGGTCGACATCGTCACATTTGTACGGTCGCTCAGTGGTTCGCCTGGCGATCTCCATGTCTGTGAGACCCGGTGAAAGCCTGGCGTGTCACCACGGCCATGACTGCAAGACTCGGGAGGTGGCCTCGACTTGCCATCGTCGTACTCGCAACGAACCTCTTCACCGCGGCAGTAATCGCAGGGCTGAGTGCCCGAACATCGCACTTTACGTCTGAAATATACCATACACCATCAGAACGGGAGGGCAGACAAAGGCAAAGGACCGATCGCATTACCTCCTACAGAACATACAAGCCCTGGTTGTACGTGGGTGCTTGAGCTTGCGTCGTTTGGGAGGACTGGATGGCAGAGTACGATTCTCCGACGGAGACGAGGCCTGGGGCTCCTCCATGTCTGTGTTTCTGGGTTCATGGAAATTCTGGAGCAGCTGGATTTCCCGTAGGAACAGCAGACGAAGGGTAAGAGACCATATGAAGAAAAGTGGGTGGCACTGCGGGGATTTTCCTGAGTCCCTTGCCGCACCCTGGGGAGACAAACCGGTGCCAACCGGGCAAATACGGGATCCCTCCGTCGGCAAGTTTGAAGAAGATTCTCAGCATCCGATTTGACCAACGACCAAACGACAAGCGACCGACAAGCGACCCTCTCCTGCCTCTGGACATCGGTTCAATAGCCGACAAGGCCGAACAGATGGACCCGGTGGAAAAGTTTCCTGGGAAGGATGCGGAAAAGGGAATAGGGCAAGGAAAAAGGGAAAAGAGCAATGAAGATAAGCAACAGCTTCCTCTCCATTCTACCCTCTCAACTCACAATAACTTAAGACACACACACAAGATCCAAGCAGCAGCAGCACAGCACGGCACACAGCCATGGCCCTCAATCGCACCTTTACACTCAACACTGGCGCCAAAATCCCCGCTGTCGGCTTCGGCACGTGGCAGGCTGCGCCGCACGAGGTGGAGAAGGCAGTTGAGATCGCCCTGAAGGCCGGCTACAGGCACCTGGACTGTGCAGCAATCTACAGAAACGAGACAGAGGTCGGATTGGGCATCCAGAAGAGTGGCGTCGACCGCAAAGACATCTTCATTACGACCAAGCTGTGGAACAGCAAACACGATCCCAAGGATGTCGAACCGGCACTCGACAAGTCGTTGAAGGACCTCGGGGTGGACTACGTCGACTTGTACCTCATGCATTGGCCCGTGGCCTTTGCCTCTGGAGACCGATGGTTCCCCCTCGACGAGCAGGGTGTGTTCCGGCTATCAGACGTGCCTTTTACCGAGACGTGGAAGGCCATGGAGGCACTGTTGAAGACGGGCAAGACCCGGGCGATCGGCGTCTCAAACTTCAACATCCGTCGTCTCAAGGAGCTCCTCGCCACCTGCGACGTGGTGCCCGCGGTCAACCAGGTCGAGGCACATCCATATCTGCAACAACCCGAGCTGCTCGCCTTCTGCAATGAGAAGGGCATCGTGCTCCAAGCCTACAGTCCTCTCGGGAACAACACAACCGGTGAGCCAAAGACGGTGGACGATCCGGAAGTCCACGCCATCGCCAAATCCCTGGGTATGGACCCAGGCCAAGTCCTCGTGAGCTGGGGCATCCAACGCGGCACGGTCGTGCTCCCGAAGAGTGTTACCGAGAAACGCATCCGTGACAACTTCCAAGATGCTATCCTCCCCGACGACGTCATGGAGAAGTTGAACGCGCTGGAGAGGAACAAACGGTTTAATTTCCCCGCCAGATGGGGATACGACATCTTTGACGAGCTCGGTGATGAGCAGGTTGCCAAAATCGCAAAGGAATCCGGGCCCGAGAATCTGCAGAAGTTCACTGTCTGAACAATAGAATCTAGACTGCAAATAGACCGCATGTAGAGGGAGCATCCAATTGGACTTCGTTGCCGAATTTGGCTCTTAGATCTTGTGCGTGTGTCCAGGACCCGTAGGATAGATCGCCTGCTCCTGAGCACAGACAGTCTTGGCTGCGTTCGCCGTCAGACTAATTTATTTATGCAGCCGTCGCAGGACAGACTCTTTGGTTTTGGTAGTTCCAGTCATAAGCCACCCACACGCCGTAGAGATGGATCTGACTCGCCACGACCACCAAGACGTGGAAGAACTGGTGCGACGAAAACCAGATGTCAAATGCGCCCGGCCAGATCGACTCGGGGATCCGGGTGACGAAGAAGAAAGCGCCGACGCCGTAGACGAGGCCCTCCAGCAACCAGTATGGCATGCCCGAGCGCACCCACATCTCACTCCAGCCGTAGAGGAAGAGGCCGTGGATGATGGGGGCGAAGCCCGAGAGGGCGGTGAGGATGAAAGCCCAAGCTCGAAGAGTCCGGTATTTCAGGCCTTGGAGTTTCGGGTGCAAAACCAGGGTGGCCGTGACAAGGCTGAGGGAGATGATCATGCTCCAGTAGACCCAACGGAGGAGAGGTTCGCAGTAGAATCCGACGTAGATGCCAGAAAAGAAACTCCCCAGGATCAGGGTCAGAATGCCCACGTAGTCGACCCTCAGCATCAGATTCTCGACGTCCTTGGAATGGCAGAGGAGGGTGTGGTAGGTGGAGGAAAGGAGCATCGTGACGATGGCAGCACCCACTTGGATGCTGAAGACGGCATAATCAGCCACTGACGCTTCAGGGTAGAACCAGCTGAGCCCGCGGTAGACAAGAACCTGTCCCACGACAAGACACAGGGCCGGAATCAGATGAGTGAAGATGTTGACCGACTCGTTGTGCAGATGACCTAGAGACCAGACGCAAGTGACCCATGAATTGGCCACCGGGCGATATCCCGACCTGGTGAAGTGGTTGTCTTGATACCATTCGGGCAGTTCTTCAAACGTCAATAGCCTGTAGGGTTTCGGTTTGAGCTTTGCGAGATTCTTCTCGTGGAGTTTGGGAATACTTGGTGCACGCGCCCGTGCCCTGGCCAGCTTCTCTTTCGGTTTTCGGTAGGCGAGAATAAAAGACATGGCTGATTCAAGCTAAAAGGACTCGGGAGCTAAGAAAATAGGTTCGGGAAAAGAAAGGGGAGGTCGCTCACAACTGACTGGACCAGTATAATAGTGAGTGATGATACTGAGTATATATAACCCCCCCAGACACTGCAATTGCGCCCTTTAACACATCAAACAGAGGTGGATGGAAAAGGAGGAACTTTGAGGTCTCGGGGGTTTCTCCATTCACATGCGCGAAAATGTTTTCAAATTGGACCCAAGCCGCCGATAAGTTGATCTGCAGATCGAGCGCTTTACGATTCGCTGACCATTCCGAAATTTCGCTTCAAGCGTTGCGCCAGTCAATGAAGCTCTACCGACTCCAGGGACTCCGGGCAGCCGATCGATTCCGCGGCTTGACCGGGATTGACTTCGTCATTGTCCCGCCTCCCTCTTTCCTTGTTGGTTGGTGAGGAAGTGATATTTATCTCTGGACCGAGTACAGATATCAACGTTGGCAATCTCTATTTGAGCTGGCCAACTGTGCCTTCGATGCTGACTTTGTTCTTGCTAAGAATTTGAAATCGTGTCACATCCACATCAGAAGAGACTCTGAGGTCCAATTGTGCAGGGACAACCACTGGCCGCTTGAACGTAATTTCCATGAACAACGGGTCATCTTGATCCGCAAGAGTGGTACTTGTAATGCATTTCGCAGCCAAAGCACCGACATGATTGCCGTGAGCCAGTTTTCCTGGGAAACCAAAAAGCTTTGCAGCGAGGGCTGAGGTGTGTATCGGGTTGTAATCCTTGCAGAGCCTTGCCCAGGATCCTGGATCATTATACTCGACGGTTAGTGGTTTTGAATCCGACCAGGCTGGGGTGGCTACCCCATTGTGAGGTCCATCTCGTCGTTGTTCAGTACTAGTAGTTGCTATCCCTGCATGGACTTTCGCAAACTGTAAGATTGTGAAATGTTGCCGAAAGGCGATGGTCGACTCGTGCGAATCCTTGCTTGGAATATGTAAGCTTACCACGAGGTCGACCTCGAAACCGCGTCTGACGGTGCGGAAATCCTTTGAGAGCCTTGCCGTCAAGAAAGCTCCATTCAAAGAAGTCAAAGCCTGCACCGTACATATTTCAGGTCTCAGCAGTTCAATTCGGTTTCTCACGTTGACGGCGCCTAGCGGCCGCACTCTGCACGCCGGGTGGGCCAAGAGCAGCAGCATGGCTGGTTCACTTAGAGCCGATAGGAAGAGAAGCAACTGGGCTCCCACCAACTCAACATTGGCTGTGACTGGTTGGTCCCGGATCGCCCTTGAATATGCGTCAAGGTCTGCTCGTGTCACTCGAAATGGCATGACCAGTGACAGTTCGTCACCGCTTGGGGACCTGGGCTCCTCAGAGATGCGCATGCAAGTCGAAAGGATGGAGTATCTGAGAGACCTCCAGAGGAAGACGGCCATGACGACAATGATATCGACGCCAGAAAGGTCATTTGGTGAGAACTTGATCTTGATCTGACGACCGTGTTTCCAGATAGGCAGGCATTTGAAGACCAAAAGGAGAGGAAAAGCGGCGATGACTGAGATGCCAGCCATTGCTAGCATCGTGCATTCGGAAAGAGCCTCGGTGCAGAAATCAGAGGACGAGCGTCTGATCAGTCATAGGTAACAAGAACCTGCCCTAGAATTATACTAGTAGTACGGGGTAGTATAGTAGTACGAGTTCCCTAGAAGCATGCTGGTAGGCAATTCCTAATAACTTTGAAGTGAGAGATTCACGAGATGACTAATCAGGCATAGTTGTTTGAAGCTGCACCAATACAATTTTGATGCTGCTTTGATGCTGCGCTGATGTGATTTTGGGAATACGTCGGATGCGAGTCGGATGCAGCCAGCATCAGCACTCTATCTATATTATATCTATACAGTATCAGAATAATGAATTGGCTGCGTAGTGATCCCGAGTCTTTCCATAACTGAGACATGAATTTATAGTACTATGGTAGCGCCTGCACCACCGGTATGATAAAGCGAGCGGCTTCATTTGGAGATTGGACTCTTCCAGTTTTAATGCTAATCGTAGATTCATCGGGCCCTGTTGCCATTTTCGTTCCCACCTCTTACATTGTATCTATGAATCAGTCGCTCTTGCCTCTCAGAGAGCACGAAGGGGAAGCATAGTACATAGAAAGAGCTATCCACTTGGGAGGAGGTTAAACCAGATCTAGATTAAGTTCAATGCCTCTGAGTCTTTTACAGCTCACTTTTAATTAATTCATGAAGTACTAAGTGGTTAGTACTCCTACTACTAAATTACTCTCTTGACTAGAATTTCCGTCGAAGCAGTACCAGGCAGGGATAGTACTACTCCAAAAGGAACTATCGCATTAGCATTGAGAAATGACAGTCCGGATGCATCCTTCTTTGTCAAGAGATCGAGAGGTCTTGCTCAAGCAGTTCGAGGAAAATCCCAGCCGTTCCAGATTCCATCAATTTCAGCATGATGCCGGCCACCTCTCTCTTCGATTCTCCGGTTGAATGCAGCTAAACCCCTTTTTCTTCGACCCATTCTGGGACACAGTTTGACGAAACGCCCTCTTGGGTAAGATATAGTACTCACTCAGTGCAGTTACATAAGATCATGCGTGTGTCGGTCGAATGCCACCCATAAATCAAATCAGTATTCATCTTTGTTTATGAGCAAAACAACTGTCTACAATAGTAAGAAGAGGATGCATGAATACACTTATTTACTACTGCTGAGCAAAATAAAGCGTCCTTGTAGAGACTGAAACGCGACACCGAAGTTTCCTAAAGCGGTAATTCTCAAAATGGGTTGCACCTAACCTCGATCGGTGCTCACATCGTCGCCGCAGTAAATGAAAAAAATTATACTGCACCAGCTGTTACTACGGACTCGTTGACCTCCATTAAATTTACAGTAGTACTAGTGTTGATTCATCACGGCCGTTGTTGCTACATAAGTACTAGCTAGTATCAAGCAGGCAGGATGTTTCCTGTCACCCTTCCTGCCTCAACACACGCACCCAGACGGTCCGTGCCTGTCGATCCCTGATCCAGGGATTGAGGACTAGTACTACAAGTACGAGGAATAGAGGCACTACCAGTACTACCTAACTAGCAGTCCAGTGACTGACTAAACAAGCAACAAAAAGATCCGGCCCTCTTGCTTTTCCAGCTTGCATTCAACACTCAGAAATCGTCGAAAAATGGCCTGTTTACCTGAGTCCTGTCATGTCTGACCCACCTCCTCGTCCCAATTTTCCATGTTCCCATGTTCCCGCATCATAGAAGTCATTAGCTCGTCTCGTTATCAAGCTTGTCACAAGCCTGTCGCTTCTTCCTCCCGTTGTTGATGAGATGGTAGAGTCGAAAAGATTCTTTCTACCAACTTTCACAATCCCCACGCCAATCAGTGGCTTCGAATGTGGCCATACTTGCGATTGGCTTCGTCACTTGATTTATTAGGCCCTAAAGTCGACTGAGGTCTTGTATAACAAACACTTTGTTCTGCCGAGTGATTTTTCATGTCCCGAGACCAAAAAATGACCCCAGAAAAATCTGACTCTTGTGCTGGTTGCCTAACCTAAGGCTGTGCGTCACTAGATGCCGAAGGAGGCACCGGTGCTGAGGACGCAGGTGCTCCTGGTTGCGGCGTAGCAACAGGAGCAGTCACAGCCGAAGCATGAGCCTCACTCTGAGGTGTTTGTGAAGATAGTTGAGGTTGCCCCTGCGGTGGTGGTGGGCCGGGGGGTGGTTGTTGTCCTGCTGTTTGGGGTCGAGGCTGCTGCGGTTGTTGTTGCACATTTGGTACGCCTGGCGCTGTTCGCGAGTACTCCTCAATACCAGGTAGCATGCCGTTCGTAATCGGAGGCTGGTCGACAGTCATGTGGCCACACATGACCACATCGGCATCTCCCATCGGTTGCCACCTCACATTTCTCAATCTCGTGGCTATGGGTCGCCCAGTAGGGTCAAATGCCGGATCTGGGGAGACCATCACTCCTGCTTTGCCAAAAAACGTCGGAGCTATCGTGAGAATGATAGAGTCGATCAGGTGGGAGCGATGCATCTTCAGCAGCTCTGAAAGGACGACTCCCCCGCCTTCGACCATGACACTCTTAATACCTTCTCGAAATAGCACATGGAAAATACCCTCCCAGTTCAGCCCTCCGTGTGCTGGGTGATAGTCATTAATCATCAGATATTCTCCACCGTGCGCTTTCAGCGTGCTAACAGCCATGGGATGTAGCAAGGCACCCGGAGCAACGATCACCCATGGAGCCTTGCCGCGTCCGTCCGTCGCCGCTTTGAGCACCTTCATCCCAGGATGGATTCGCAAGCGGGCATGAGGATCAACAATGATCGGTCGGGGTTGGAACTCCCAACCTAGTCCACCATATCCGGCAGGATTGGTGAGTCGACAATTCAGTGCAGGATCATCGGCAATAGCTGTAGAAACTCCAATCAAGATGGCATCATGTCGACTTCTCAAATAGTGTGTCATTGCTTTCGTCTCTGGGCCAGACACGGCCGTAGGAACTCCAGGTATTTGACTGATCCGTCCATCGAGGCTGCTTGCCCAGGTAAGGGTTACGTGGGGACGAGTTCGGACCGCCGTAAGTTTGGGATCGGGGATGTAGGATTCCAGGAAGCCTCTGGCATGATGAGGGTACTGTAGAGTGTCCCAATGAACTGCTGTTGTAGGCTCATTCCTTGTATTGGGTTTGACAGGTTCCAACCGGCCAAAGACGCCAGGCTGCATGGAAGGCTGGAATTGAGGCTTTGGAGGTGGTGGGGGTACTGGCGGTTGTCGAGGTGCACGTTGTTGGTTGAAGCCCTTGTGTGCTTTCAGAACGACTTGCTGATGTCCCTGGCGCCATGCATACTGGACGTTCCGGACGTCTGACATTTTCATAAACTTTCCGCCGGCAGCTCGCATCTTCTCTGGCTCTTCCCACATTTTCCAAAATATCGACGCGGGGAGGTAAGCTTTGGCGGCCTCGCGGCGGGCTGTGTCCATGATCCCAGTATTTCGCTTCGTACCATCGACATAGTCCAAATCGTGGGAATGTCTCATTACACCATCAGTGGCCTTCGAAATAGTGCAAGTCTCTATTGGACCGTGGTTGTAGACCACCTTCATCGTCATGGCACATGTTTTTTCTTCTCGAACTCTCTTCTTTCTCTGTTGTTTGCCTTCTGGTGTGGGACGAGGTGTGTGTACCTTTGGGGTAGCGCCGCGTCGGAGTCTGCACGCGTAATAGTCGACCGTGGCAGCAACATTCTCGGGTTGGGAGTCTGTCGTTCTCATCTTGCGCCAGATGTTGTCGACGAAAGGGAAGTAAGCTTGCCAGTCCGCGACAGGCAGCTCGATGGGGTGTTCTAGAGAGAAAAGTCTCTGTCGCATTTCGGCGAGATTAGGCGGGTTGTCGAAGACGCTGTAGCCTTCAGGTTCATCAGACACGGCGTAAGTTCTGCCGTTTGTTGACATTGTCCGTTCAGCCGCGGCATCAGCCTCGCCCTCACCGTCACCTTCAACGTCTCCGTCGGCGGCTCCTTCGTCATCTTCCACATCGTGCATGTTGGCGTCGTTGGCAGCTTCATCGTCCGCTTCGCTTTCTTCGTCATGGTGGTCGAGGCCATCTGGCGCATCGGGAGTCTCAGGGTCGGTGCTCATGATGATCGACACGCGCGGGTAGTGTGCAGTGGGCTGACGATCGACTAATGATGGGAGGGATGTGGATGCTCCGCGCCGCGCAGGATGAAAAGAGGTCGCGTTACCATTCGGAATGTGCACAGTGAGCAAGGTCCGGTACAGGGCAAACAGTGATCGAGGAATCCGAAAACAGGCACTAATCCTTTGCAGACCTGAAGTAATGAGTTTCACGCCTTACTCACTGTCTGCATTGAAATGCGCACCAGAAAGTGAAAGTGAGCGGACTCTGAAAATTGGCGCGGGCATCGGGGGTTGAGGATTCGCCAAAACAGAGATGACCCGTCACTGAGCGAGGCTCCACCCTCCCGCCAAGCGACCTTCATGCAAGGAACAAGCTCAGCAGCTCAGCTAAAGTCACCCGCTAAAATAAACCGAATAGGCTCTTAATACCGCCAGAGGGCGTTGAGTAAAGGTGCCTAGGGTTGAGGACCGCCTAATGGAGTTACCTGAACTTTAGGTATGTCGTACCTAAGCTACCTAGGCAAGGACTTCCTCCAGGCATTATTCGTCGCGTCACATTTTGAAACCTGTCGTCTGCACAAGTCTTGAAGTTTGACAGACGACAAAATAGACATGGGCATTTGTCCAGATTTGGATTGATCTGTTCAGTCCGTTCCTCTCTGGAGCACTTGCGGTGCGTCCCGTGTCCCAAGCACCTCACAAGAGAACTTTTGATCTTTTGCACATGGCTGTTAAAGTCTACGTTTTGGGTATCATTCGTACTCTCCTTCCCTAATTTTGTGGGGAAAAAAAAGACAGGCCATCGACTTTCATCCAGCGAGTTCATCTTCTTCCCCCATATCTTGGTCTGCTCCTTGACCGACTCCTGCTCCTGCTCCTGCTGTGACTGTAGCTGCTCCGAGAGCTGTAACTTGGGCTGCGTCTTCTGCGCCGTGGTGGACTTCGACCTGGTGGACCACGTCTTCGAGGCGGTGTCCGAGATGAGGATCTGGAGTATGATGGTGACCGCCGACGCCTCCTAGGCGGTGAAGGAGACCTGGAGTATGCATCACGGGGAACGTACGTGTCGTCTTCTGCTCCTCCTCGCCTTCCTCCACCATACCCGCCTCGCCTAGGTGGAGGGCTTCGATATCTTGGTGGCGGTGGCCCTCTTGGTGGTGGGCCGTACCGGGAAGGCAGTGGACCGTATCGGGCGGATCGTGCTGGTGGCGGTGATCTCGAGAAGGCCCGTCGAGGAAGTACAATGCTCACGGAAATGATGACACCGTCTAGCTGGGCCTCATGCATGTGGGCAATTGCAGATTCGGAGCCGGAAGGGTGATCATAAAGAATGTAGGCGGTGCCGCGATTTGTCATGACTGTTCCACGTTAGACGTCTTCTTGGCCATTCATGATTAGACATACATTGTTTGTTGAGAGGGAGATCGATCGACTCAATGCGACCGTAGGAGCCAAAGATCTCGCGTAAATGAGCCTCGGTCACGTTTCTAGTAAGTTTTTCCACCACAATCTTGGAGCTCTGCATCCGTCGGTTGTCTCTACTGGGGCTGCGCGTGTAGCTTCTTTCTCGATAGGACCTTCTGTCACCGCGACTTGGACTCCTGCTCCTGCTCCGCGACGTGCTCCGGCTCTGGCTTCTCGCCCGACCGTGTCCATTGCGTCCATCGCGTCCATCGCGTGGTGGAGGCGACCGAGAGTACGACCTGGTTCCGGACCTCGAACGCGAACGGGAGCGCGAACGTGGTGAAGGGGATCGACGCGGCGAATGTGAACGATTGAAGGGTGGGGAGGGTGCTCGTTGTATGGAAGTTGGCGTGTGCGACCTTGTAGGCGATCGACCTCGTGACGGCGATCGCGAAGGCATTCTGGAAAAGATTTCAAGGGCGGCGTCGAGAAAAGGGTCTTAGAACATATTCTGGTATGAGAAGACAGTAGGAGAGGTGAGGGATCTGATGTTTTGACGTAGTTCAAACATTAATGGCTGGGCCTCGTGCCTCATCCCAGCACAAGCAAGTACTTTTAGTTCTCCTAAATGGGGATGTGCGGCCTGTGTAAAAGTACTTCGCCGTACCACTATTTAGTCTTGGCAGCACGGCAGATTTTCTTGACTTCTTCCATCAATCATCATGCGTTTTTCCGGAAAACACCGTCGGATCACTTCCATCCCTCCATCGTAAGACAACTTCACCACTTCAGTTCTGCAGATGACGTTCTCTGCTGCGAGACGCCGATCTGTCTTCCACCATTCCGGGATATCCTGTCACCTCTCCGCGCCCAAAACAATCGTTTGTCGATCCGTAGACTTCCCACTCCACAAATGCTCTAACACTTCCCGAAATGCAATTTGTCCCACCAATCGCGATATTTGCAAACCTGGGGAATTCCTTGCTTTGAATGTGCCGAACCACCCCTCCGCGGAATGCAGGGAGTGAAAAGACGTTGCCTCTGAGCATCCAATATTAGGATGGCCACAGTCATAAATGAGAAAAGGTAGGAAAAAAGCCGTTGGTCCTCCGTTCTTCTGCCACCGTCATCCAAGATGCTCGCGCCTTGCATCGTTGCTGTTCTGCTCATGGTAAAGGTGACTACGTGCACTATATCATTGTCAGTCGCCCCTCCGCAGAATGCTAGCAAGCCCCTTCTTGAGTCCTTCGTCTCGTACTCGATTGAGTTTTCATCTTTTCCGGATTTCGCAGGTAAGTTCTCTCGAAGCGGCGGGATGTCGTTACCAACCTTTGGCCAGGGAATATCAGCCATCCAAATAACTTTTCATACAACCTGTTGAAGAACTTGCGTGACCTCCAAGGAACTTATCCCATCGTCCGAGTTGGCGGGAACACAGAGTACGTCAATAGTAACTTCGACTGAATGACTAATGCCAAAGGAACGGCCAGGGATTACGCCACTTTCAACGCTTCACAGAAAGCCGCCCTAATTGGCACTTTCAACTTCACAAGATCGAGAGACTACCCAACAACAATATCCATCGGCCCGAACTACTTCGACTCTTACTCTACTTGGCCAGGGGTTACGTACATCCATGGGTTCAACATGGGAAAGAATGGGTCCATCGGCTATGAAACGTTGATAGAGACTGCTCCACTTGTTTGTAAGGCCCTGGGGACCACCAAGACTGCTTATTGGGAAGTGGGAAACGAACCGGATCTTTACAAGACCAGTGCCCAAGGGCCAATGAGACCAAGTTGGTGGAATGAGACGGATTACGTCCAAGAATGGCTCAACAAAACCCGCACTATCCGACAGCTGGTGCAGCAGAATTGTCCGGAGATCATCAGTCAGGGGAAGTTCAAATTCTACGCCCCCAATTTTGCGGGAACTTCAAATAGTTTGAACTTGATCACCACCTGGCAAGCAGGGTTGGACGCCGACAACAATATTGCTTTCATCGACAGCCACAAGTGAGTCATTGGGGAAGACCAGACTCACTCTTGCTGATGGCGTGCAGTTACATTGGTGGTGCGACTCAACCGGGTGTGACTCTCCAGGGCACCTTGATGAACCACACTTCGACCGTCTTCTCCGTTAGCAAACACCTGAACGAATCGAGCCTTCTCGCCTACGCGGGGCTCCCATACATTCTGGGAGAGACAAACAGCCTGTACAATGAAGGTGCACCAGGCCTGTCCAACTCCTTCGGCGCGGCTCTGTGGGGCGTGGATTTCAACCTCTACTGCGCCGCAACCGGTATTGCTCGAGTTCACATGCACCAAGGCACCAATTATAGGTACGCTTCGTGGCAGCCGATCCCGACCGTCAACGAGAGCTTGGGCACAAAGGCACCGTACTATGGTAACATTATGGTAGCCACTTTTCTTGGGGATTTGACCAAAAACAACGTCAGCATAAGTGACATCGAACTTGGGAACATACATCAAAATGCCTATGCGGCGTACGTCGATGGCCGGCTAGAGAGAATAGCCATCGTCCAAATGAATGCATACAATTACACGTCCAGTGGCACGCAGGAACCTCGGCCGTCTGAGACATTCAGCTTTCAACTGCCAACCATCAACACTGCGTCAACCGCGAGGGGAGCCAGCGTGCAACGATTGATGGCAAACGGCAGCGACGCCATCACGGGTATCACTTTCGATGGCTGGTCATATAACCACGAACTTCAGCAGGGAAAGCCGGTAAAATTGAACAATGTCACTTCTGGAGAGGTGTTACAGATTGCGCAGGGCGGCATACTTACGGTTACTGTGCCGTGGTCTAGTGCAGTGATATTGAATCTGCAGTGGTGATATATCGGGCTTTGTATGTCTGTCAGGGTAAAATGCTGAGAGGACTCCGTTGCTTGCAGAACCGTCGCAGGGTGTAGCTCGAGACTGGCCGTCTACGAGTAGGTCCAAAGGGAGCTAAAGTTGCCTTGTTCGATGCTCCCTGATGATCACGAAGCCTCCATATTATGCCCAGATCTGGATATTTCTGCTTCCTGGCTTCTTCCGGGGGGTCTCGCATGGACCTGAGACGCGCCAAACGGGGAGATCGGTAATGTTGAGCGGCCTAGTTCGATTTACTCGGTGCCTTGTTAGTAGCTATTATGGCCCGTCAGCTCGAGAACAGCCGATACTTATCCTTCAATTCAATTAGCATCATGGCGGTAGTAAATATTCTTTCCTTCTCGGCCATGTCCCGCTGCATCACACCAACAGAGGTTTCGTTCACATATAGTATGGACGCTGCCGTATTGGAGGATCTCGTAGGAGGTGCCTGGAAAACGATGGACGAAGGTTTTGTAGATTGCGCTGGTATTTCCTGTTGCTTCGGCCTTGGAAAGTAGTCACTGTCACAAGCAATGGAGGTAAGTCGTTCAATGACCTTACGTATGTTCAGTCATAGCTGATGTCACTGCAAAGGTCGGAAAATGCCAAAAGGGTCACTTGCTGACGCAGGCAATCTCGTTCTCCTGCATCTAGAAGCCTCACATCTGTCGAGCAAAAGGATCCCACTAGCTTGACTAGACGTCTAACAGTCGTAATGCGAATTGACAGGCATCGGCTCCCAATTCAACATTTGATTGGCCCTAGTCATACTCAGGTCATCATCACGGAAAGAATGCGCCAATCCCATTACATACCCAGGACCGATATGATGACCTCCACCCCGTCGGCTCCGACTCCTGCAACCGCGGCAGCCGCCCAAACTTGGAAAGTTGGGGTGTCAGAAAAGAAGGACCTGGGCTTAGACCACAACTCTGTCGTTGCGAATTGCGAGATGGAATATCGCAGAGGGCTCTCGGAGGAGTTGGGAATCAACTTGGACCGATCAACTCATGTTCGAGGCTACCTCCAGGTGCGCCCTCACCAAGACCGCGACAATCTGACAAAACTTCCCAGAAGCATTGAGACACAAGAACTACGCCGATATTGTTTATTTCTTGGCTTCCCATGCCTCACGGCACCGCTTCTCAAGGTCCACAAATCCCCATGGGACCTGCTACCACGGTTCGGAAGCAGAACTCGTCTTGTGACCCGTGTCGGCGTTCGAAAAGACGATGCGCGTTCCCCGAAGGCGTCCATCCCGGGTCCCCAAACAGGTGTCTGAACTGCATGCACCTCGGGCACAATTGCACCTTTGATTTTGTCAATTCCCGACTCAATCAGAGGAAAAATAAAATTAAACAACCAGCCTCATATGGACCGGAACAACCTATCGCCCCTGCCATCTCCAGACCCGAGAAGGAGAGCATTTTTCCTTCGGATCAGGGGTTTGTGGACCCCATCCAAGCCACAGGACACAATGGCTCGTGGAACGGGATTTCCTCTACCGGTGTTCTTGATGTTGATATGTTTATGGGAAATCTCGTGTCGGAGTGGACCAACCTGGACCGTCAGGTCTTTGCCACAGAGACTCCAGCTACAGAGCACTATCAAAGCAGCACCAACAGTGGCGCACTGTCACCAAGCACTCAAGACTCGAGGAGCCACTACCAGACGCCATACAGAGCACCCAATGACTTTTCCGCTCCAAGAAACTTGTCTCTGGGGCTTTGGCGGGGCAGTCCGATCCACCTCCTCAACTCCAGCGTTGAGACGCAGCGGATAAATCAGAATCTCCGTGAGGTCTACAATTCCATGATGGCCGGTATCGCAATACGGTATCTAGACTACAACTGTAATCTATTCGCTGGGTCATACAAATATTCATTCGATGCCGATCAATCAAATCCATCAACTTTGGACATCAATGGTGGTCAATCTATGGGCGACATACTAACGCCTTCGTGGAAGAAAGCTTCACTAGAAAACAGTGGCTCTCGAATTCAGGCCAATATGGCTCCAGAGAGGCTGGCAAGCCAAATTAACAAGGTTACCATGCTTGGAGTTGCACGATTTCTGGACAACTTTGGTGCCTTTTATGGAAATGTCGTGGACCAGAAAACACGCAATCAGCATGAGCACACCTTGATCGCGGTCCTTCAGGCGTTTGCTCTCCAATTTGCGCCATCTAGGCCGGCAGACGATCCATTGACACGGTTATTCGAAGACACTCAGGGTGGCAACCAGTGCTCGCTATCAGACCCCAATCCTGGGGATCGAAGCACCAATAGTCAACACGTTTTCACTGCAGCATGGTTCAATGCTCACTCTCATCTGGTTTCGTCAAAGGAAACTCGATCCTTTGTAAGACTTTACTCAGTATTCCTCTTTCTGATGACCAGTGTACCACCGGAAGCAGCGTCCATTCCCTGCTACGAAGACACTCCGATTGGCCTGCTCGATAATGCTCTGCGCCAGATGGAGGAGCTACGGGATCTCGTGGAGGCCTATTGCAAGAATCTTAGCCGGCAGTCAATTTATCGTTTCCTACTTGAATCCTCTGTCGGTATTATCCGCTGGTATGGCTATCTGCGCGATACCATAGATTCCGTGCTTCATGAGCGACCGTGCATGTTGGAGGACGCGATGCCAAGGTCAAAAGGTAGGGATTACAACACAACTTCACAGTTGT